ACCACCACTTCCACTACTACTGCATAGAGCACAGAAGTCACCGTCGAATTCATAATTGCAGCAGGAGTCGTGATGAAGCGTAGGAAGTGTAATGTACACAACAAGATATTAATAAAGCTCATCATGCCGGACATGCCAAAGAAGCCAGGACTCGATTCGAGCTTCGCTTGCACGGGAGCAGTGGCAGCCCAACTGTGCTTGCTTGCATCTTGCCGATACCCTCTCCTTCTGTTTGTGTTTGTGCAGTGTGAGTGACGAGTGTGGGTATGGGAACATAAGATCAGATGACCAGTCAGAGTCAAGTCTGACTTGATGAGAGAGTCACAGTGTGTCCGCTCGACTCGACTGCATGCCGATTCGTGCGCGCTGCTGAGGACGCTGATTATCAGCATCAGCATATATGCAGCGAGCGCCTGGTGCGAACTGCGAACTGCGGACAAGCCAGCGAGATCAGCCCTGAAATAAGTCGCTATATCTATGCACAGACTGTGCGCGGAAAATCTCCACGAAGACCTGCGCGCGCCCAGGCGTGTCACGCGACTTTTTACACAGCGCGGGCGGACATTAGACCCGTCTGTCGTACGAGAAAGAGAGAGAGAGATCACGTGTGTGATTCTGCTCGCACCCTTTGCTGCCGCGGCTTCACTTGACCGACTCGACTGGTGACGCGACGTGTTTGCGCTGTACGTACGGTACAGTCACGAGCAGATTCGCCCACCCACGCTTGTCCATCATCATTCACCATGAGCATTCACATTCCGCCAAAAAGCATCGCGCAGCATCGTTCTGAAAGCTTTCGCATCCGACCGGCAACGCCCAACGTCCACCGTGGCTTGAAGGCAGCGAGCGCGAGCGCGCTCTCAAAATGTACAGCGCCGCATCAACGCACAAACGTCGAAGGAGCGCACTTCGAGCGGACGAAAAGAGGAATCCCGTATCCCTGCTGGCTCATGCTTCTTCCCGGCGCATCCTGTCCAGATTTTACGACGATGCATGCAGAGAAGCGGGTAGGAGTGGGCAAGGAAAGGGCAAAGAGAGGGCGTTGGATGAGCTGCAAAAGAGGGTGACGGGACAATTGGTGGGCGCTCACTGCGTAAGTACTCGATGCGGCGGCGGTGGGCTCATGTGCCTTGTCCCGTGATACGTGAGCATCATCTGAGATGTTTCTGCTTCCATACCACGTCCTTCTCTACTGTTGCCCACGCCAACACAGCTTCAGATCATCATGCCGACCGCCAGCTCGTCGCCGTCCAGCGTGCATGCTCAGCGTGCCTCCTCCAGCAAAGCACCTACCGCACTCCCATCCACCCTCGATGCCCCCTCTACTCCATCGCTGGCAAACTCGAGCGGCACTTCGGCGCTGATAGTTTTGCGCATCTCGGATCTCTTGACGAATGGCGTCCTGCTACAAATGGCCAAGAGGCCAGAGGATGAGTTGACTCTGATCGCTAGCACCGCCAGCTCGAGCGATGGGGATACGTGGACGCTGGTGGACGGTGCGTCTGTCACATTCTCAACGTGATTGTGATTGAAGCTCTTATCGAATCTAGTCCCGCTCACTCATTCCTTGCTGCGACACACTTCCCAAGGTACATTGCACCTTTCGGTCCAAAGAAGCACCTACCTCTCACTAGGTCTGGTGGGCAGACCAAGCTCTTTCTGTCGAACCTCGTCAGGCCGCTATTCGGATCGACGCTCAGGCTTGGTGGAAAGATTTCGCATCGACATTGACATCAGAGCCAAATCCTTCGCCCCTGCAAAGAAGGGCTACGAGAGAGTCAAGAGAGCGCTACAATGGTGGGATTCGCACAGGAACAGCGACATGCATGCCTCTTGGGAAGTGGTGGGTTGTTGGAATGGGCAGCAGAGCTGTGAGTCAGTCTGGGCGAAGGCATGATTTGTAGAGCAGTGAGCTTATCCTCATCTCTCCTGGGTGTATGCGCTCGCACCAGTTCCCCTGCCCATCGCATTGGACCTCTCGACACGACCTCTTGTCAAGGAGATAGAAGACGTTTGGGTACCCAACCTGTCATACATGTACCAGTCATCTCTCGATCATGCATCGTGCTTGGATCAATGGGATCAGACATGGCAGCATATATCCGAGTGGAGCGCGCTTGTCAGGTTGGGAGTAGAATGGTGAGCAGCATGCGAGCAGACTCGAGATGAGATATTGCCGATTCAAACAATAATGTGTTGCCTCTGCCCGGGCGCAGCATACGTACCTACGCACGCCCCAGCCATACCTGCAGGCTGCCCACGGAGGAGTGGGAGCAACTCAGTGCCTATGCGCATGGGGTGAAGATCATCACTTACGAGGGTCCCCTTTGTCCCAGTCAAGTGCAGAGCATTTTCTATTCCTTGCAGAAAGATGTGGATGCCGAGGGACTCGAGGCGACGCAACGCAGAAAGGCGGGAGGGCCGCAAGAGAGAAATCAGCAAAGGGAGGGCGAAAAAGACGTGGAAAGGTGTGAGGCGGAAATACCGTGGGCCTTTGTAAGCTGCACCGCTTGGCAAGGAAGCTGCGTCGCTTGGCGATCGAAGGAGAGCAAAACTGACCGAGCTGAGCCAAAGACGAAGGTGGGCGGGACTCGTCAGAGAAGAGGCGTGTGGGAACGCAACGAGGCGCAAGATGAAGCCTGGCAACTCGACGACGAGCCGAGCGATTCGGTTCCATCTGGCACGGAGCAAGACGGCATGTCTGTAGACTCCTCCAGCTCGGCCGCAGAGGCCGACGATGCGCATTGTGCGACTTTGGACCCGTCGCAAGCTGTATGCGCAGCAGCGGGCGCGACAGGCGCAAAGAAGCGCAAGAAGACGTGGCAAGGGAGTGGAAAAGCGGCTCGACGAGCTCGATCGAAGAGGGTGCAGAGGAGGGGTCATCGAAGGGCTGGGGAGAATGAGCACGCTATTGAAGTTGCGGGCGGCGGCGGCACTTCTGCTGGTTGGTCCGTCCTGCTCTTCCCTTCCTGCAGCCCTGACCAGGCAACCTCTGGATTGAGCGCGGACAAAAGTTGCAGTGCCAAGGATGCATGTTACCTCTCGAGCAGACCAAAGTGCAGGTGGATGGCCTGCGAGAATGTAGGCATCGATACGCGCAATTGAATTCAAATGGATATGCTCCTGCTTGCACACTTTGCCACAGCTCCACTGTGCTCGCAAGTCGGGTGCTAAATGAAAGGTGATGCATTCACAGAAGGGAGCCTCCGAAACAAAGTACAGCGTGGTCGTCAGGTCCAAGCACATGTGAAAGGGGGTATGAACGGTGAACATGCGAGTCGGTGAAGAAAAGTGGGTAAGAGTCGTAGACAATCTGCAAGGATCAAAATCAGAAAAAGCCCCACTTGGACGAGGAATTGCGCTGAGGGGCCTGTTTCTCCTGGTAGACCTGTTAAAGGTGTATTGCAGATTCTTACATGAGTTGGATTGTTTGCAAAGATCGTGCAAACGTGCCGTGGCGGCGCGACATACCTTGACAAGAGCATCCAACTTCTCCATGACCATTTCCAATTTTTCCTTTCTCTCTTGCAGATCGAGATGCTTCCTCACGTCTGGGTTTTCCCTCGCAAATCTGGAAATCTCTTCTTTGCCTAGATCGTAGATCAAGTGGCTATCGATCTCTCGAGGAAATTGGTAGAAGAATTCTGCGAGAAGCTCGATGTTGATAAACATGACCGAGGTGTACGCTAGCTTGTCGGCTACGACGCTGAGGAAGGCCTCTGGACAAAAAGCCTTGGCTTCAGGTCCTCCCGTCTTGCACCTCTTGGCCCGCAGCGCTGCAGCTCGCATCTTCAGTATTGCGCTCCTGTCCGCCAAGAAGGTCGACTCTCTCGCCTTGGCAAGCAGTGCGGAATTGTAGTGAGGTTGTGTAGGGTCGGACTCTTCCAATAGCGCGTCGGACGTCGCTGGATCTGCAGCATCCGCAGCACCTTCACGAGCCCTCAATCTGGCCAACGCAGCTTTGCGACTCCTCTCCTCGACAGACTTGACATGCGCTTCAGCTTCCCTCAGACGTTTGGAGCCCACAGCCTTTTGAATCCTCTTGAGCGCCTCATCGCACATCCTGAGCTCCTTGTCGAGCAGATCGATACTTCTTCGACGTCCATCTTCCCACTCCACCTGCTCTACCTCCACCTCGTACTTGTATGGTTTGACGCAATTCTCCACCTGATCCGCAGTGATGCCAAACCTCTCTCGCAGGATGGCACTAGCAAAGCCGGCAATGCGCTCAGCAGCGTCGGGGTGGTGGTTGAAGGGCTCTGCAGACGCGAGACCGTCGATGTGCGCTCTGACGGCATCAGCAACGAGCTGCGTGCTTAGGCGTCCAATGCCTGATTTCGTGAGGGCGCTGGTGCTAGCGTCCAATTTGTACTGCCAATACCTGTCCAGGTCTTGCGCCGTCAACTTTTTATTGTCCGCCAGCTGCGAGAGTTCGGAAGCGCGCGCATCCGTCCAGTACATCTGAGCCAAGATATCCATGATCTTGTCGTCGAAGGCTGTCCGCAAAAGACTGCGAACCTCGGGCTTTCCGAAGCCTGCCGCCAAGTCTTTGAAGCGCGCCTTGAGCGCATCCATCGTCTCCGCCACGTACGATTCTGCGCTGATCGATCGATCATTGTATTGTACTTTGAACTGGTACGCAGCTTCTTCAAGCTCAATCTGTACCGCATTGGCAATGCCGTGCAAGGAGGAGCCCATGCTCTCTTCAAGAACAGCCATGAGCCTTCGCCGCAAAGTCTCGGTTCCCGTTAATGGCGCCTGTCCGGCATTGCGTCCGCGCACATTCGCGGCGAGGTAGTGCTCCGCATGTTGCGAGAAGTAATCGTTCTCTCCTTGCAAGACGCTTCTAGTAACGTTGCCTTCTCCGCTGACTCCATCGTGTCCCCTCGATGTTCTGAAAGCGCTAGTCATGCCCTTGCAGACGACACCGACGTACCCTAGCGCGAGCGGGTACTTGTTGTTGCGTAGGATGGCGGCGCCTTCTTCAGGAGGAACGAGGTCCAGCTTGGTGACGACACCAATCGTTCGCAGACCAAGCGGATCCACTTTGCGACTAGCGCGCAGCGCAGGACTGTTGGCCAAGTCCACGTCAGCAGCGCAAACGGCGAGGATGATGTTGGGCTCCCGAATGTACTTCTCGCATAGCGTCGAAATCTTTTCTCGCAGCTCTTCCGGCTGATCTATCCCTGCAATTTGCACGTATCCCGGCAAGTCGATCATCGTGAGGTCAGGAACGTGCGGCGAGTGGATGCGCAGCTCAATGGGCTCGTCCGAGACGCACTGCGCCGCAGGCACTGCCATGTTGAGGTCGAAGAGCGTCTTCTGCACTGCTCTGAAGTCGGTGATGCGGCCAAGACCCAGCCCTGGAAACTCTCCGTACTCGACCGGCGTACCTCTGCTTGCGCGCGTTGGCTCTGTGCGGACAAGAGTGAGCTCGATAGGCCTGCGCGTGACCATGTTGGATCCCTTGGGAAGGAATTCATGACCGACAATGGCTTCCAGCACCGACGATTTGCCGCTCGATTGCGAGCCGATGACCACGATTGATGGCAGAGTCAAGGTGTCATCGGCATGATCGACGGATTTGAGTATGTTCCTGACCTCAATGAGCTTGCGAGTGAGTTGTTGCAACTCTGCGGTGGTGCTGTTAGCCTGAGGTCCTTTGCCTTCCTGCTCCGACTCCTTCTCGTCGTCTGCCGAGGACTTGCCAAGCAGAGTCGCAGCTAGAGCTGCAGCAGCACCTGCCGGGCCTCCATTGTTCGGCTCCTGATCTCCCTCCCTTGGCTGACGATCTCCGCCGCCACCACCGCTGTTCGCCTCGGCAGCCTCCTGCCTAGCTCTCTGCTTAGCTTCCACGCTAGCCCACCACTCTTTGAAACCTTCTCCAAGTTCCGAGGCACCTTTGCTGAGGTCAGCCAGACCCCCATTGAGAGCCGAGGCTGCGTCCGAGCCGTATATCCCTAGCGTCTCTGCCAAGTCGCCCGCCTTGCTAGAGGCAGAATCGAACACGCCGCCCATGAAGCCACGAAATTCTGATGGACGTTGAGCAGCAGACGGGTAAGCTTTGCATTGGTCATGACAGCTCTGCAACCATTGCACAAGTTCACTCACCGTCTACCTTGTAGTTGGCATACGCCAACGCCCCTCCAGCGGCACCAAAGGCGTAAGCGGGGACCCTAAATGCTCGCAAAGCGGCTCGAGGCACTGAGCTGAAGCTAATGGCGCGCACATGAATGCCTCTAGCCAACGCAGCGTTTTCGAGCGGTAGGAAAGCTCTGGTGAGCCGTGCTTGCGGTCGAAAAAGGGAATTGCTCCGCGCAGTTGCTAATCTGTTTGCGACCACATTGCGCTGAGCGCTTAAGCGCGACAGGCGAGCCAAGGCGGACATTCTTGCAGCAGCACCAGGTCAGCGACCAGACTGTATCTTTTCCCTTGCGCTGGGCTTGAACGAGTGATGTTGGGCTTTGTGTTGACGAAGGAAGGGCAACGAGCGTGTGATCACTTCGCTGCTCGTACCTTGTGACTGATCATAGCCAGGCACTGCGGTCTGCCAGCGCTATATGCAAGGACTCAGCACAGGTATAGAGCCCATGCGATCGTCTTATCTTGAGTGCCGAAAAAAATGCAGCGTAGCAGGAGGCTTGGAAGGTGAGCTGCACAGATGATGATGACTTGAGGATCGCAAGCGAGAGAGAGGGCAGAGAGATGT